AATCGCCTCGAACAGTTCGACGCAGAATTTAATTATCTTTCGTTTATAAACAAGAAACTAGAAATCGGTTCATATGTGGGCTCTCAAAATTAATTTGTCCACGACAACCTTTTTTGCCCCACTGTGCGTCGTCAGGTGATAGAGTGCATCGCACATTCTCCTTACTACGTACCCTAAGACTACTGATATTGCGCCACAAGACACCGGGTGGTAGATTGGAATCTAGTTTATTTGCGTAGTAAGCGCGCTTTGCGCACCTTGTAACGGAAGTTGAAATATTCCTAGCCGACCTAAATGCATCCCAGTTCGATAAGGTGGGATTTTTCTTCCACCGGGAATGGAGCTTTTTTCGCAATTTGATGGCCGACTGAACCTTTCTATTATACCACGGGCAAGACGAACATCCAACAGGGACAGTGCGAACAGGCACATGTTTGTCGAAAGCATCGCTAAGAGTACTAACAAGGAAGTTAAGTTTAGCGTCAACTGATTGACAATGCCAGCATTCAGTCTAGTCTATTCTGCCAAGGTCCGAGAAAAGTGCATCTAAATTAATACTCCGGAAGTCCCTATATGAAAATGTCTGATCGTCACGACTCCGCTCAACATTAATGTCCAAGGAACAAAAAATTAGATCATGGTCAGATAAAAACGTAATTTGGTCAAATTTTAAAACACTGGTCAAGTCGGAAACAATAAAATAGTCAAGTAGGCTCGGGCTACAATTTACCGCATATCTTGTTGGTATCACCATGTTTACCATCGAGAGCCCCGCGCATGCAACATTGTCTACGAAATTTTTACTGTAACAGTCACGCACAAGAGTATTCACATTAAAATCTCCACAAACAATGATATGATTATAATCAACAAGATACGCAGACATGACATCAAAAAACGGACTGAGACTAACAGATTTATGCGGATTATAGACACAAGCAACAAGTGCTTTAAAATTTTTACCTGATATTTCTACACCAAGGAATTCAGTGCCATGGCTTGTGGACATTGTTAAATTTTTCATCCGTAAATGGCTTCTACAATAAATAGCAACTCCACCACCTCTCTTGCCGACCCTATCGTTACGTAGAAGACTGTAATTTCCTATGTCAACAGAGGAGTCACTAAGCCACGCATCAAACCACGTCTCAGATACACAAATAACATCAATTGACGAACATTCCTAACATAGTCCATCTTATCAGTATTCAAGCTACGAGCGTTAAAGTGCACTATGTTAAGGCACTTCTGACGACTACAGAGAACATTTAACTTAGCGAGACTGTTTACATCAGCTCTAGGAATTGTACACTCATGCAAGGTGCAAGCAGAAACAAGTTCACTCATAGAGAACAAAGATAAAGAATTGAAAAGAATGGCCATCTTTACAAAGTGAGAAGCGCAGTAAGAGGTATAACACACGTAGTAATTATAGAACATAGATATATAACAGCAAAGAGCATTAATGAAATCGCTGCAGTTCACTCCCATTGCAAATTTTGGTTGCGGGCTCATTTGTATCATGCCGCACATGTACAAAACCCCTGCGGGTAAAAACCGACAGCAACTTCCCCTCTCGCCGTATCTTAACCACCGCTTGCAGTAGTTTTCTATGTTCAATAGGAAGACTCTCAAAAATACTAAATTTTCCCTCCACACCCAAAGAGTTAAGCGGGATGGCAGATTTGATGCGCTTACGGCATTCAGCGAACACATGGAGAGTCCGATTTCGATCGGGGGGAGAGTAGAATTTTATAATGACTGCACTGTTGGGGCTCACGGAATTAGATTTTTCCCGGAAAATATCTTTGATTGGCGGAACCATGAAATCAATGGAGAGGCAAATTCGATTGAAAATGCTTTTTAAATTCTCACCCTCCATATACCGCAACCCAAAGGCAACAGCATCAGCAGCATGATCGGAAATCGCCTTCTGCGACAGTACACTTTCAAGCGACGACCGTAGTTCCGCAATCTCACCTTCATGTTTGGTTATTTCCAATTCCATTTTCGCTATATGCTCAGAAGATTCCACCGCTGTCAAAGTCGCTACTTCCGCATCCAAACGCCTGACAAGCTTCTCTTCCAACTCAGATATTTTTGAAGAGAGACTCCCGAAGAGAGACTGGAGCTGCTCAGAGTGTATTTTGACTTTTTCTTCCAGCTCTTTTACGGCCGCTAAAACTGTAGTTACTCCAGCAGACTCATCAAGCTTAGCAGCCTTAGCAAAGGGGGACTCTCTGCTAGCGCGGCGTGTTAATGATGTTGATGTTGATGTGGTTGTGTTTGTCACTGACATTTTACCACAGAATGTAAGTTTTGTATGCGCTAGATAAGTACTTAAAACAAGCAAATTAACGACGGAAGCAAGCTTTCAGTGTTAATTTAATGATTGGCAGATGCTCAGCGCACGAAAAATAGTCGAATTTATATATGAAAATTATAAAATTAAGCAAAAGCAAGTGATTATCGCGGAGCAACTAATAAACACGTCCAAACACGTCTGATTCTCTCTCTCTTTTTAAAATACTTATTTCTTTGCTCCACGTTCTTTTTCATTGTGGTGTTTTTTTATTTTATTATTTTTATATACATACACGCAAATTGAGATCAGAACATTACCCGCAATTTGAGAATGAAAATTGACTTTCTGACTTAATGTTCTTTACCGATATGATGGAACATTTGCAAAACTTGAATTCGTCTCTACTCGCTCTTTTTACTTTCTCTTTGCTTAGAACATTTTGACTCTTTTTACTCTTTAAAATACTTATTTCTTTGCTCCACGTTCTTTTCCATTGTGGTGTTTTTTTATTTTATTCTTTTTATATACATACACGCAAATTGAGATCGGAACATTACCCGCAATTTGAGAATGAAAATTGGCTTTCCGACTTAATGTTCTTTACCGATATGATGGAACATTTGCAAAACTTGAATTCGTCTCTACAAGGAGAGAAGAAACATGTCTTTGATATGTCGCAAATTATTTTAAGTTTTGAAGGTAAACTACGTCTTTTTATTCATGATCGCAAAAAAAGAATATTTCATCATTTGGCAAGGCTAGAAAAAAAATGTTCACATGATTTAAAGGCAGATTTTAAAAAAAGATTTGCCGAATTGAAATTATTTAAATGTACGTTTACATACTTCATAGACCCTTTTTTATGTAACATAATTGAGGATGAATTTACAATATCCGAAATACCCCTTTTTAAGAAGAGCGAAGAAGAGTTGGTAAGAGTAAACGCGGACAAGACGAAGTATCTCCAGTCATCAAACAAACAGTCAGCACATTCGCGCCTGGGCACCCACGTCACTGTTGACAGTTACAATTTCGAGAAAGTAGAGAATTTCGTTTACATGGGAACCAGCGTTAACACCGATAATAATGTCAGCATTGAAATCCAACGCAGAATCACTCTTGCCAACAAGTGCTACTTTGGACTGAGTAGGCAATTCAGGAGTAAAGTCCTCTCTCGACGCACGAAAACCACGCTCTATAAGTCACTCATCATGCCCGTGCTGGTATATGGCGCAGAAGTATGAACAATGACAACATCCGTTGAGGCGGCTCTTGGAGTGTTTGAGAGAAAGATTTTGCGGAAGGACGGCGAGTATCGCAGACGATGGAACGATGAGCTGTATGAGCTTTTCAACGACATGGACATAGTGCATTAAAATACAGCGGCTCCGCTGGCTTGGCCATGTCGTTCGCCCCCACTGCGATGGAAAGATCAGGTGGAGAAGGACTTGCCTTCACTTGGCGTTTCCAATTGGCGTCAGTTGGCACAGAGGAGAAACGACTGGCGTGCTTTGCTGAACTCGGCCAAAATCGCTTAGGCGGTTATAGCGCCGAAAAAGAAGAAGAAGAAGAACAGTTGGAGTTTTTGGAATTAAAAGAAGATAAGGCACTGTACATGCAACATAAACCTTTGCCATTGCTTGAATTCCGACACCAGATTTAAAATATCCGCTGTTTAAAACAGCTGTGTGCCGTATATTTTAAATTTTTAGCACAACGTATAACTGTGAGTATTTGTACTCTACAAAATCAGCTATAAAATTGCTTTTAATTACTACTTATGTGATTTTGTGAGTCTCAAAAATTTAAAATATCCGCTGTTTAAAACAGCTGTGTGCCGTATATTTTAAATTTTTAGTACAACGTATAACTGTGAGTATTTGTACTCTACAAAATCAGCTATAAAATTGCTTTTAATTACTACTTATGTGATTTTGTGAGTCTCAAAAATTTATTCGCCGAAGTCAGTTGGTCTAGTACTGATGTCTCTGAATGTTTTGATACTTTCAGATCAGTAGTGTACGAAACGTGTATAAATAATATCCTTCTTTTCAAAGGAAAACCATATAAGCTACCATGGTATACTATGCGTCTGAAGAAGCTTAAGAATCTTAGGAATAAGTTCTTGAAAAAGTTTAAATCCACCAATAACCAGTTGCTTTATGACAAGTTACGCCAATATCTGAAAGAATTCAATTGTTCGATAAATTTTTATATAGAAACCACGGACGTGAACAGGATGAAAAATTTTGTCGGTTCGGTTCAGCGGTTCGAACTGTTTTTGCAATTTTGGATTGGTTCGTCAATGCGGTTTTTTTTGGTCTTTGAACCGGGGTTTCGGTTCGGTTCAACGGTTCGAAAAACAAGCAAGAAACATTCAATACCCGGCGCAAGTATTAAAAACATGATTTTCACCTTTGCGAAAGCCACCGCAACATGGTATACCGGGGTGTATCAATTTTGAATAATTTAGCGTCCTTAAATTTCGAAATATTGAAGTTTCAAGCATTTCTGAAATTTACCGTTATATGAAAAGCGGCCTCAATTTTAGTCTGATTTCAATAATTTTCAACGTTTTGCTTTTATTTGGCAAGC